TTCCTTCCGCGTCTCACCCGCCTCTCCTCCTTCTCCTTCTCCTCCCTCTCCTTCTCTCCCCTGCCGCGCCGCACCCGCGCTTATTCACCTCACCCAGCTCAGCTCAGCACAGCACGGCACAGCACAGCTCGGCTCAGCTTAGCTGAGTGCGCAGGGGGGGGTCTCCCTATGCGTGCCAGGGTCGGCCAGGCATAGCAGGCGTGGCATTTTCTCGGCACCAGAGGGGGTGCGCAGGGGGTGGTCCCCCGATGCGTGCCAGGGTCGTCCAGGCATAGCAGGCGTGGCATTTTCTCGACACCAGCGGGGGTGCGCAGGGGGTGGTCTCCCTACGCGTGCCAGGGTCGTCCAGGCATAGCAGGCGTGGCATTTTCTCGGCACCAGAGGGGGTGCGCAGGGGGTGGTCCCCCTATGCGTGCCAGGGTCGTCCAGGCATAGCAGGCGTGGCATTTTCTCGACACCAGCGGGGGTGCGCAGGGGGTGGTCTCCCTACGCGTGCCAGGGTCGTCCAGGCATAGAAGCCGTGGCTTTTTCTCGACACCAGAGGGGGTGCGCACGGGGTGGTCTCCCTATGCGTGCCAGGGTCGTCTAGGCATAGCCTCTAGTGCGGGATTGCATATTACCTCTCGTATCCAAGTGCCAGGCGACGCCAGATATGACCGTCACAGATGACTCCTCAACCCCTCCTCTCCCCCCACACGTCCTCCCCCTCCTTTCAACGACCACAGGGGGCACCTGAGAGCATGACGGCGGTGGTAGTGGTAGCGCGGTTCACACAAGACATAAAATCAGTATGTGGGGTTCCTCGGTAGCGTAATTTGTTTTCTCGGGGGGGATCGGCGGCGAAAGATAAAGAATCCGGCGTGACCTCATCTGCCATCACCTCTAAAAGGATTCCGATGGAATACCCCCACAAGAGGAGGACTCATACAGAAAGCCTCTACAAGAAGATTCGGATCGAAACCCTCTACTGAAGGATTCCTATTGAGATCCTCCGCATATGGATTCCTACTGAAGTCACCCGCAGACTGATTGCTATTGAGATGTTTCGAAAGAAAAAAAACCCCGTTGGCATTGCATTGGCATTGGTTTGGCATTGGTTCGGCAATGGTTTGGCATCGCATTGGCATTGCGTTGGCAATGCGCTTGCACTCCGCAAGCATTGCGCTGGCGAGTCATAATGGGACCTCCACAAAAGGACTCCTACTGAAACCCTCTACAAGAAGGGTTCCTACTTTTTACCAAAGAATTTCATGCGAATTCCTCAAGAAAGATTCCGATTGAAATCTACCACAAAGGATTTCCCCAATTGGCACTGCATTGGTATTGGGTTGGGATCGCATTGGCATTGGTCTGGCATTGCGTTGGCACCGCTTTGGCATTGCGCTGGTATTCCGCTGGCGGGTTCCAATACCTCCCTTCGCAGAATGATTCCTGTTGCGCCCCACCAAGGAGGATTCCGATTGAAGCATTCCACAAGAAGGATTCATTTGAACCCCCTCACGGAAGGATTCCATTCGAAGTCCTCTATAGAAGAAATCCTATTGAAACCGAACACAAAGGATTTCGCCCATTGGCATTGCATTGGCATTGGATTGGAATCGCCTTGGAACTGGTTTGGTATTGCGTTGGCACTGCGTTGGCATTGCGCCGGCAAGTTCTCATGGCTACCCCCACCGAAGGATTCCTTTTAAAACCTTCCACAAGAAGGGATCCTTTTGAAAGCCCCCACATCAAGGATTCATAGTGAAACCCCCCACAGAAGGATTCCAATCGAGCCCTCCACAGGAGGATTCCGATCCAAATCCTCCGAAGAAGGATTCGTAACCAAATCATCCCAGAAAGATTGTTATTGAAATCTGTTGAAAGACAGGAATCCCACCATCGGTATTGCATTGGCATTGGTTTGGCAACGGTTGGAAATCGATTGGCATTGCGTTGGCCTTGCGATGGCAGTCCGTTAGCATTGCGTTGGTAATGCGCTGGCATTGCGCTGGCGAGCCCCAATCGAACACTTCTCAAAAGGATTCCTATTGAACACCACCACAAGAAGAATGCAAATTGAAATCCTCCACAGAAGGGCTCCATGGGAAGCCTCCTATTGAAATCCACCGAAGGGTTCTTGAAACGATTCCTGTGGATGACATCATCCACAGAAGGATTCTTAGCAAGGTTGCTATTGAAATCTACCACAAACGATTCCCCCCATTGGCGTTGGTTGCATTGGCATTAAATTAGGATCGCCTCGGCATTGGTTTGGCATTACGTTGGCACGGCGTTGGCATTGCGCTGGCGAGTTCGAATGGCTACCCCCACCGAAGGATTCCTTTTTAAAACCTTCCACAAGAAGGGATCATTGTGAAAGCCCGCACATGAAAGATTCAGACTGGAACCCCCCACACAAGGATTCCAATCGAAACCCTCCACAGGTAGGATTCCTTTGGAATCTACCACCAAAGATACCCCCATTTGGCATTACATTGGCATTGGACTGGGATCGCCTTGGTATTGGTTTGGCATTACGATGGCACTGCTTTGGCATTGCGTTGGCATTGCGCTGGCAAGTCCTAATGGCTCCCTCCACACACGGACTCCTACTGAAACCCTCCACAAGAAGAACTGTTATTGAATCCTCCCACAGGAAGGAGTCATTGCGAAACCCTCCACAGGAGGATCCCTATCGAAAGCCCTCACCGAAGCATCCTTAAATGCTCCGAAGGAGGACTCGCAATGACATCATCCACAAAGGACTCTTGGTGAAATCCACCGAAAGAACGGATTCCCCCTATTGGCATTGGCATTGGTTGGCAATGGATTGGTATCGCATCGGCATGCATTGGCCTGGCACAGGAGATAGACAGAGAGAGGCAATGAGAGAGAGAGAGAGAAGAAGAAGAAGAAGAAGAAGAAAAAAATGCGACGCACCCAACCCACGCGCATCAAATGGCAAGAGGAGTATGCCAACATTAGCAGGAACAACGACAGTGTAGACGCGGCGATTTGCTGTGCAAGCTACATGGGATGCGCACGCGTTGCACGATTCACAGGACGACGATCGAAAGAACGAGGCTTGAGGCCCCAGGATCGAAGAAGAACGGGTACGGGAACGAGGGGTAGGAGAGGGATGGAATGGAGGGCGGGGGGGGGGCGAAAGGCCATCGCGGAAGCAGCAGCACGCATGGAGAAGGTGAGGCGGGGAATAGGACGACGATGAAAGTGGCGGGAGGAGACAGAAGACTACCGCGTTTTTCAAGCGCGAGCTAAACCCGCAGCGCTGCCTGCGCCGTGCCGTCGCAGAGTTCCACATGATAAAACTCGTTTAGAGTGCAAGGAACGAGCGAGGCGTAGCTCGCCCACTAGCTTCTCCGCCTCCTTCCCGCACATTTCAGCGCGGGAGCTGAACGCTCGCAGGCGCGCCGCCAGGTCTGCGGGCGGCCCGCGGGAAAGAAACTCAAGGCCGGGGTCGCGTATCATCAATCGGTTGTCCATCGTCCAAAGTTGCACTGGCGACGTACTGGTTGAACGCGGAGCGAGCAGCATCACGCGCGTGCCTGAACGCCACGCAGGTACAGTGCACGCGCGATTGGGACTTCAGGTCGATCACGCGCGTCTCCACCAGGCTTGGCAACACCACGCGACTGAGGATCTCACTGCGGTCTGCCATGCTGCTGTCCGCGAATGCAATGCGCTGCCTGCAAGTAAGGCGGCGGCGTCCACTTGTCTCAGAAGATGTTCCCGCGGGCCCGAAGGGCGACCGCCAGCTCGAGCCGCGGCGCCGGCAGGCCAGATAAGGATCATGCAACAGCAAAGACGATGACAGAGCAACGAGGTATCGGCGAGTGCATGACCGGCCTCCGTTTCCTGCACTTCTTTCCTGTAGTTCCCCTAGCTCATCGAGCTCAGCAGATGTTTCTGCGGGTCCGAAGGACGACCGCCAGCTCGAGTCGCAGCGCCACGTGGCACGAACCGCAGAGCAAGGGCACGCGAGCATTGCTCGTGGTCAGAATCTGAGTCCCCGTGGTGCCTCACTCCGCTGGCCACCCACCAGCAGCCCTCGAAAGTGGCGACAGTTTCACAGATCGCAGCCGCCCAGGGGTGGCGAGGTCTAATCTGAGTCCCCGTGGTGCCTCACTCCGCTGGACCCACCAGCAACCCTCGAAAGTGGCGACAGTTTCACAGATCGCAGCCCCCCAGAGATGGCGAGGTCTAATCTGAGTCCCCGTGGTGCCTCACTCCGCTGGACCCACCAGCAGCCCTCGAAAGTGGCGACAGTTTCACAGATCGCAGCCCCCCCCCAGAGATGGCGAGGTCTAATATGAGTCCCCGTGGTGCCTCACTCCGCTGGACCCACCAGCAGCCCTCGAAAGTGGCGATAGTTTCACAGATCGCAGCCCCCCCCTGAGATGGCGAGGTCTAATCTGAGTCCCCGTGGTGCCTCACTCCGCTGGACCCACCAGCAGCCCTCGAAAGTGGTGACAGTTCCGCAGACCGCAGCCCGCCAGGGATGACGTGAAAGGCAAGAGAAGAGAAGAGAAGAGGAGCGAAGAGAGGAGGAGAAGGCAAGCAAGAGAGGAGAGGAGGAGGGAAGAGAGGGGGGGGCGGGAGGAGGAGAACGGAGACCGCAGTGCTCTATTCAAAACGAGTACCCAACGAAGGAGGGTTGGGGGGGGGGCAAAAAAATAAAACAAAAAAACACAAAACAAAAAAAAAAAAAAAAAAAAAAAAAAAAAAAAAAAAAAAAAAAAAAAAAAAAAAAAAAAAAAAAAAAAAAAAAAAAAAAAAAAAAAACGAGAGAACAATACTGCGAGAGAAACGAACGATGAGGGGATCACGGCGACAAGAGACAAAACATGTATATATATGTATACATAAAGAAGTATTAGGGTGAAGGAGCGTTCCACTCGATAAAAACATTATGAAAACGACGAGGGGCTCCACAATCCCCCAGCCTCTTCTCCTCCTCCTCCTCCTCCTCCTCCTCCTCCTCCTCTTCCCTGGGCCACCTTGCGCACGTCCGCGAAGTCCTGGATAGCCAGCGCGTCCGTCGGCTCGTTGAGGTCGACTCGCACCAGCAGGTCCTCGGGGCACGACCTACCACCTTCGGCGGTGGACAGACCTCCCTTTAGAAAACCGCCCTACAGTGAAAACGGCCTGGGACCGAAACCGACGGACCTGGATCCGCAAAAATGACGGCCGCGACGCCCTCTCGCGAGCCGAAAACGGCCAATTCACTGATCGACGCGTCAGGGTAGGAGACCTAACCTCGAATCCTCCTCCCCCCCATGAGGGAGAAGGAAAAGGCAGGTGCTGGCTCAGGAGGTCCCCGGGGCACGACCTGCCCCCCCCCCCCTCCTCGAGGAGGAGGGGAGGGGGAGGGGGAGGAGGAGGAGGAGGAGGAGGAGGAGGAGGAGGAGGAGGAGGAGGAGGAGGGAGGAGGAGGAGGAGGGGGAGGAGGAGGAGCAGCGGAAGGAGGAGAAGGAGGAGGAGGAGGAGGAGGAGGATGTTTTTGTTGACATCCACAGCCAAGGACCCCACACTGTGGGGCGGCCAAGACATTGTCGCACGCGGGCTCTCACCAGAGGAAACATTGACCTGGAGTCGGCGACACATCGCCGACAGATCGGCGATGGGCTCTCTCGATAGCCAAGCCGAACGTTCCTGGGCAGGGTATGGGCGGCCCAGCCCCGATCGGCGAGGTATGGGCGAGTGGAGGTCGATGCTTCCCCCCATGAGCCAGCCGCCCCCTGGTCTTGCCCCTGCTGGGTAGGTCATCTGACCTCTCCAAGAGCACGTCCCAACCAGGAGTTCTACGCGAGTCTGGCCGCGGCGACCACGGTACCCCAGGGGGGGCACAGAAAGGGCAAGAACTTCGAGATCCTCCGCCACCTCCTGCGCCCGAGCGCGCATCTCGTGCCGCCTGGCAGTGGATCGGTCTCAGTCACCGGCGCCAAGCGGCGGACCCGCGATCGTCGAGATAGTTGGCGAGGAGGAGGGGGATAAGGAGGAGGAGGAGGAGGAGGAGGAGGAGGAGGAGGGAAAGCAGCACACCAAAAGCAGGATCCGAGAGTTGATCCGAGAAGCGGAGAGAGGGAGGAGGGAGGACGGAGGACGGAGGGCCGAGGACGTGGGGAGGAGAGACGACCGAGGACGGAGGACGGAGGACGGAGCAGCGCATCAAGGCCACACTCCCAACGCGAGGGGGGAGGCACGGAAAGGCCACGGGCCGTCGGGGCCGCCTCGAGGGCCGAGGGCCGACCCCTCGCGCTGGGGACCACGGGCCATCGGGGCCACCTCGAGGGCCGAGGGCCGACCCCTCGCGCTGGGGCCACGGCGGAGGCCACGCGGCCAGGGGGCCACGGCCCCTCGGGGCCACCTCCGGGGCCGAGGGCCCGGGGCCGCCCCCCCCCCCCACCACGAGGGAGCCACCAGGTGAGGGCCCCCTCGAGGGCGGTTTTGCCGGCCCCACGCGCGAAGGGCTCGAGGGCGGCGTGCCGACCCCACGCGGCTTGCCACTGCCCACCGGGCTCGGGGTGCACCAGCAGCGCGGGTTCGCGGAGACGCCTCCTCGCCTCCCCCCCCCCCTCGGGGCGAAGGGGGGGGCCGGGGACCGGGACCGCGGGCAGAGGCCCACGACACGCGGCACCCTCGCAGGTCCCGGCGCTGTGGAGGGGGCGCGGCGGACACCCCGCGGGTCGGCAGGTCGACCGCCCGCTCGAGGCGTATGCCGGAAAGACGGGGTCGAGGGCTCGGGTCGCAGGAGATGGGCACAAATGCCTGGACTGCATCACCGTGGCCGAGGGCAGAACCGGGAACGATGGGAGACCGCATTTCTTCCCAGGAAAACCGTGGGCGGAGGAGGCGGGAGGCAGGGACAAGAAGCGTGGGCCGACGCATCTCGGCATCGGCCGTTACCAGGATTCGTTACCCCTGCTACCAGGCCGCCTCTCCCAAGGAGGAGGTCCTGAGCCACCTCTCCCGCGGAGGCTGGGTCCAAAGACTCAACCGACTCGTTGATGTGACGCACCAAACGGCCGATGTTCTCGGCATGACTCGACTCCTGCATTCCGAGCTCCCAGACGCCCTGCTCGGCCTTCTCTGTGTCGGTCCGAAGGTCGTGCAGGACCTGTCGAAGATGCCCGCGCTCGCACTTCAGCCTCTCGATGTCCGTTTTAGAATCCGCCGAAACCCACCTTCGAGGAGTGACAAAGGCGTGCCAGGTGCGTCGCCGTCCCCCCCTGGGTCCAATTGCTACAAACTCCCAACCGCACCCCTCATCCTGATCCCCCGCACTTACTCCCATCCCTAAAGGAGGAAGGGGAGGGACGAGGAAGGGAGAAGGGAGGAGAGCATATACATAGATCGATGTGTATACATATATATATATATATGTATATATACATCTCTACATACATAAACATGTATTTATATAAATACATACCAGAAGGCCGGCGGAATGGCGCATGCCTCCGGAATACGCCTGGCTCTCCACCTTCTCCGACAGCTCCCGGATGGAGACCTGCAGTCCCTCGAGCTCGAGCAGATGCCTGCGCTCCGCGGAGTCGGCGGAGGCGAGCTCCTCCTCTAAGCGTCTCACGCGGGCCTCCTGCGACTGGATTTCGCCACGCAGCCGATCTGCCTCCACCTCGAGCTGGGCAGGAGCCTTCTGGAGTTCGATGAGGCGGTCGTGCTCCGAGTTGAAGTCCTCTGGGGAACGCCGACATGGCAGGTAAACGCGGCCTTCGGTGGCGCAATCACAGCAAATACTGATTACATTGCGAGTGAACTCGCTGCTGCAATCACACTCCTACGACTTCCAGATGGAAAGTCTGACACAGAAACTCATGGGCACCGCTTCTACCTACCATTTCGGATCCCACTTCGGATCCCACTTCCTCGAGCTGCTGCTCCATGGACGTGTGCTGTGCCTGCAATCGGTCAATTTCCCCCTGGAGTGCGGCGATTCGCTGCTCGTAGATCTGGCGCAGGCGTTCTTCGTCAGACTGGTCGTCCTTGCCGCCCAGGTACTGCACGTAGTTCTCGTGCAGGGACCGCAAAAGTTGATGATCTCCGCCCTCCTGCTCCGGATGCGCTATATCGGCGAGGCCGACCTCGCAGGCTGCGACCGGCTCTATGAGCTCGTCGTTGATGCGAACAAGCACGACAAGCCAATCGAGAACAGCTAAAAGCTGAGGCCACGTGTTTGGCCCACTGATAGCCTGGAGCTTCGACCTGTTCACTTCGACTGGATATTTCAAGCGACGCATGATGGTTGGTACCTCGTCCTCAAGCTTACCATTCACCTGAAGTGAAACGTCGAGCTTCGCGATGAAGAAGCGAAAAATATCGAAGAACTCCTTGGTTGAAGGGTCCTTCAGAAGCTTTTCGTAGGAGATGGGCTTCCCGTAACCGCTAGAACTGAGCAGGTCGACAACGTTCCTGGCACACTGCGCCGCGTAGGCTCGATCACCGACGGGCCGAGGGTCTCGAGAGTGCCTCAGCGTAGACATGGCCATCGGCACGAGACTGCGCCGCGCCGCGCCTCCAGCGCCTGCACCAGCCGCGCGCCGCCCCGGCGAGGCCTGAGGGTTCTCCATCGAATCCACCGACGACGCTCCAGGGGACTGCGCCCGGGTGCGGGACACCGAGACACGGGACGGCACCCCCAGCGAAGGCCGGCAGCGCGCCGGCGTGCCAGACATGGCTGGGCGCGGGCGGCCACGCGGGCAACACGGTCCCCACGTGCCGCCGTGTCGGCCACTCGAGCCGAGCAGCGCCCCTGGCACGCAGACTGGAGCGCGGTCGGAGTTTCAGAGCAGCGTCCGCGCAGCGCGGTCGGCGGCGAGGCTGTGGCCCACGCCTGCCTCACGACCGCACGCCCGCGAGGCGTCGAAAAATACATTACATGCAGATCAAGGCCACGAGTGCACGTCGGCTTGCAGAAAGTGTCTCTCGCTCATCTCTCTCTCTCTCTCTCTCTCTCCCGTTTTCTCATATATCTATACAACCCTCAATCTATATGTATCTCTTTCTCTCCCTCTCTCTCCCTTCATCTCTCTCTCTCTCTCTCTCCCTCTCTCTCTCTCTCTCTCTCTCTCTCTCTCTCTATATATATATATATAAATATATACATGTCCTCGCGATGCTACAAGCCTGATTTCCCTTCCTCGCCTCTATATGTGTTTATATATCTCTCCCTCTCATCTCTCCTCTCTTGTCATCTCTCTGTCTCTCTCTCTCTTTCTCTCTCTCTCTCTCTCTCTCTCTCTCTCTCTCTCTCTCTCTCTCTCTCTCTCTATATATGTCTTTATTTATCTCTCTAAATATATGTTTATTTATCGTTATCTCTCATATATGTATATATACACACATGTATATATATATATATATGTTGTATATGCCTCCCTCTCTCTCTCACTTTATGCATATATCACTCAGTTTGCATATACAGTGATATAATATGATTGATATGTTTGTATAGATCACTCACTTTGAAATATTATAATATACGCATGCGTAACTATACATAACAAAACTACATACGTGCACGCATACATGGATGCACGCGTGCATACAGATATACGTACGCGCTTGCATACATGCATGCATGCATACATACATAAATGCATTCATACATACATCGGGAATACACACATACATGCCCGCATGATATCATGTTTATCGTCATTTTTTAGATACCTACAAACAAACAAACAGAAATACCTGCGCACACACACACAGACATACGTACATACGAACAAACATACATACATACATACACGCATGCACGCATGCATGCATGCATGCATGCATGTGTGCATACATACATGCATGCATAAGTTCATGGATGCATGCATGCATGCATGCATACAGACATGAACGCATACATACACACATACATACATACATACATGCATGCATACATACATATGTACATTTGCGCACGCATTTCTACACATATAGATATATATATATATATATATATATATATATATATATATGTATGTATATATATACACATATATATATCCATACCTACATTCATACATGCATACAGGCAGACAGACAGACAGACAGACAGACAGCCCGACAGACAGACAGATATACATGCGTGCATGCATGCATGCATATATGTACCTATGTATACATATGTAAATATAGATACGCACACAGCCGCACCCCAATTCCGGTGAACTTCTTAGCAAGGTTTCGTCATGTTCCAGGGGCGACGTCTCCACTCACGTGCCGTTGTCCAAAATCTGTCGCTGCTGACAGTTTGATCGCGAACGGCCTTGACGGCCCACAGCGGTTTCAGTAAAGTCGAAGACTGCTGATCGACACTTCCGAAATGCCCAAAGACTCGCCCAAGACGTCCCAAAGAATCCCAACAGGCCACGAGACGACGTTTGGACGTCTTAAGTGGCCACGAGATGTTTATGTTTTTTTTCTGATTTAGGAGATGATGGAGGCGACCAGCACGACTCAACAGGCGGCGTCAACACCCGAATGCCACCACCAACAAGGAGATAAATCAGACTGCAAGCAGGAACATCAATTATTCAGACCTGACGTTTTCAAAAACTGCTGCAGGCGCAGCGGGAGAGGAGGAAGGGAGGAAGACCGAAGAGGACGTGGAGGAGAGGGAAAACAAAATATCAAGGTGAAACGGATACGAACTTGCAACGTGTCGGGCAAGTGGCTGCGAGGATGTTATGACATAGCTCCTACCGAACGGCAGAAACAGCCAGATCAGTAAATCTAGCCTAACTTGAAATAAGAAAAGAGGAGTGGCGGAACGGGTGAGCGAGTGAGAACGAGACAATTCGGACACTGGCATCCCCACTGCACCCAGGAAAGCACATCGCAAGCTGACCCACTGTCTTGAAATGCAAAAACAACGTAATCATATGTATATGTACATATATATATATACATATATATACACATATAGGGAACCGAACTCTATACACCGATGCTTTTTGCGGCACTGCACTGAAGTTTGCACAAAAAAGCGGATCCTGGTGTATACGGGATCCTGGTGTATACGTGTTCCGTTGTTTCCCCGGAACAACGGGGAAACAATTATACACTACACCACCCCGACGTCGTCCCCGACCCTCAAAAAGTCCTGGGGTTGAAAAACAGCCCGCCACTGGTAATGTATATGCGCCAGTTTCCGAACATACATACATACATGAGAATGGGCAAAAAATCACTAAGGCGTCAAAACAATGAATAAAGACCTCCTAGATAGGATCCGAATAAATGGGGTCGAAGGATCACGCCGCATCGCCAATACATCGACGATGCATCGGCGAAACATCAGCGATGCAACGGCGACATCGGCAACGCATCGGCGTCATTTGCGTGGAGAAATTCGGGCTCCACATCGAGCCGAATCGCAGATGCAGGAGCGATGCGGCGCGATCCTTCGACCCCATCTACTCGACCTAACTTGGAAGGCCTCGAAAGAAGGAGAGAGCCGAGTAGCCTAACTTGCGAAAGGGCATCAACCTCTGCGGCAGGAGGTAGTCCAGCTCCTACAGCCCGAGCGCCAGCTGCTGCAATCCCGTCGAATGGAAGAAAAAACAAGGAGAGGCCGACGTGGAAGCAGGGGAGGGACATACAGGGCGATGCATCAAAAAGACGCAGGCCGGAGAGACGCGGGTACCTGAGCTCAAAAGACAAAGGACCAAGAAAAGCTGCCTGAGTGGACTTGGCCTATGGCGAACCTTTGTCTCGCAAGGGCCTGCCAAATGCAAGATGCACGAAATACACGACAGGCTGCAGCGGCCTCTACTTGCGCTGAGGCTTCGCGAAAATACGGAATCCCTTGCAGGAACGGCGAATGACAGCGAGCCCCTGGCGGGAGGGCCGCTCCGCAGAGACTCACCGCCTCCGCCCTGTGGGGAAATCCCATGAGTTCGAAGAAATACATAAGAACTCGTTGACACTCGGAGAAACTCATGCGCCCAACGGGACGCTCACGAATACATAAGAGCCAAAAGAAAAACCATGAGGCCAAAAGAACCCTCTTGCGGAACCTCGCCGAAACCTTCGAGAGGATCTCGCACACGGCCCCAGTCAAGACGGCCACAAAGGACCACTTCGCACTCCACGTCCGATAGGCGGTCGTCGGGCAGTTCCGCTGGCGCCGCACGCCGATGCTGGGTGGCCTCCAGGGTGCCGTCGGGGTCCACTCGAGGCCCTGCCTGCCGAGGCCTTGCCCTTTACCGTCTCTGCCCCTGTCTCATTCACTGTACATTCTTTCCATTCCACCACGCCTTTTACATCTTGTGCTGTCATCGTACTGGATTGGATTGAATATTGATTGTTGACTGGAGTCTCTGGCGGCACAGCCGTGCAGACTGGAGTTCTCTCTTCCATTGCAGACTCGAGTTCACTATGCCTTGCAGACTGGAGTTCTCTATGCACTGCAGGCTGGGAGATTTGTCTATTACGTTGCTTGTCTCAGTGCTTGTCTATTCTGTCGCTTGTCACATCGGCACGACGGAGTACGAAACAATGGAGGTGCAGACACAGAAACGGAAGTCCGAGGCTGAACGGTCGGCGGCTCACGCTGAGGAGCTCGAGCGTCGCAGCAACATCCTCAGCCAAACGTCGGACCCTGGCCCGGAAGCGTTCCTGCAGTGGTCCTCTGGGGCCAGCGATGCGGATGTTGAGGACCGCAGGAATACGGACATCATCTTGGACACGCTGCGTGAAAGGCCGAGCATACAGATTCCAGCGTCCAGAACCTGCAGAAACAGCAGAAGCAGGATAGCGACAGGATCACGAAGCTTGAGCAGCGTTTTGAAAGGCGGGGTACTGCGTCTTCGGCGGCCTCTGCCCTGCCTCCACCACCCTTCCAGCCCCTGCTTCTGCCGACTCTTTCCAGTCGACGTTTGTGGAGTGTTACGGTTGGGCGAAGGACTGGTCGTCGCCTCAAAATCAAGCAAAAACCATGATCTCTGATGTCCAGGCGGTTCAACTCGCTGGGAATGTTGCTGTCATGGTTGGAAAGGAAGACGCACTCGCCCATGCAAAAATAAATGTTGCAGGCACGCTCAAAATAGCAGGTGCACGTTCCATGCATGCCAGTGTACGGGTCAAGTTCGTCAAGGGTACCGATTCAGAGGTCCTGTGGTCCGTGCAGCGCCTACTTCGGAAGTTGCGGGATGAGGATCTGGAGAGGGGTGTCATTCTCCGGGACCTGGCCCCGATTGGCCCCATGAAGTTCCGTGTCGAGGCTCCCCCCTGGAAGGCTCCACACATCGCAGCGGTTGGACGGTTCTACGGAGCCTGGAAGAAGCAGTTCCCCAACATTTGGCTCAAGGCCACGACGGGCAGTGGGAAGGCGCCTTCAGAGGTCTGGTCTGATGCAGTGGAAGGTCGTCCTTCCCTCCTTGGCGAGTTCAAAGCTTCTCAGTTTGGAGGTTCTGGTCAGTGGGTTATATTTCCAGATTATTGGGCTAAGTTTGCTCTGCGCCATAGCGGTGGCATCGATGCGGCCGCCATCCAGTCTAGTGTTTCTTCTTTATCTTGACGTCCACAGCGAGGCGGAGAGGTGGGGGGGGTGCACGTGTCCTTCGCCTCGCTCAATATCCAGAAGGCTGGCCAGTCTCTTGATCGGCAATATCTGGTCCTGAGGGAGCGGCAGCTCGAGATCTCCCGTGGGATGTCCTGGGGCTTCAGGAGACTGAATTCATCAATTTTGAAGCGGAGTGGTTCAATCAGTTGCAACTCTCTGCCATGCACAGTAATGATAGGAATGCGTCCATCGCGTACCATCATGGTGTCTCGATTCGAGCGTCGTGCGCTGGAGATCGCTGGGTGGCGATCCTCTTCGGTCGCATTTGCTTTGTCTCACTTTACCTACCTGATTTGTCTGTTCGGGACGCCGAACAGATTTGGGATACCTCTCTCCAGACAACACTCGCTCTATTGCGTCAACATTGGTCCAGCTTATTTGGCCACGTCAAATTAGTTGTTGCAACGGACTCGAACGTCGAGATTACCCCAGAGATGTTTTCCCCTTGTGGGCAATACCTTCTCTCTGGCACTGGGCTGGCTCAGCCAGGCACAGTTGTTGGTCAGGGTACTAAGGAGAGGGAGAGGAGGCAGGCGGAAGTCAACTTGAGATGTATGCTGGAGGACTGGACGGTGGAGGAAAGGTTGATGGCTTGCAACGCGTTCGGGAGGAGGGAGATTACCTGGTATGGGCATCGACAGAAAGCGGGGAAGAACGGAAGGGTACTGGATTACATTTTCGCGCCCGCATCTCTCAGTGTCTCTTGCTCTTCTGTGGACTGGATCACAGAGGGTGGCCGCGTCTCCAAGAAGCTGACCGACCACGCGATGGTTAGGGTGGAGTTGTATCCTCCTCGCCCGTTGCTGTCACTCGATTTCGCAGTCGTTCAGTTCGGAATATGTCGAGATTGCCACGCTCGCATTCCATTCATGAATATCGCGGGATGCTCTACGAGTTCCCGGCGGCAACCAAGGTTGACGGTTTACCGCCGGCATCCAGTCTGGGTCGGTTGGACGAACATTCGGGGAGATTTGAAAATTTGTCTTGGAAACCAATATTTTTGTGACGTGAAGTGGGTTGTGCCGCTTCTGTCTGTCAAGTTCTCAGGTCTGCAGCTGCAATATTACTGTCAAAAGACGTGGAGGAACCGGCTTCGTATAAAATCCCCCAAAATACATTATTTCAGTTTGTGAGCGGATATGCAAGAAAGTTTTCCTCTTGTATTCTGAGCACTGGTACGAAGGTTCAGAGCTCTACAAGGGCCCCGGCGGTAACCTGGTTGACGGTTTACCGCCGGCTCCCAGTTGCCCCGCCCGGCCCGGGCGGACAATGTGACGCCCTGGGTTTGGTTTTTCGAAGATTTCGAGAGATTTGAAATTTCGTTCTGCAAACGAACATGTTTCTCACGTGTAGTCCTGTCCAATCCTCAGGCCGGTAGCTGAAATATTACTATCAAAAGACGTGGAGACACCGTCGGCCGTCAGGATGCATTTTTCCAGACGATACCAGTTTCGCGCATTACTTTTAGCAAGACGCAAGCTACATAGTGGCGCATCGGCCTGTCAAAGTTCGAGGTCCGTAGCTGTGGTATTACGATGAAAACACTTGGCGAATAACATCGATTGCTTTTGAAGTTTTAAGCTGATTTTGAAATAACCTTTCTGGTCGTTCTCAGAGCACTAGTTCGCGGTGTCGAGAGCTCTACGAGGGCCCCGGCGGCAAACTGGTTGACGGTTTACCGCCGTCTCCCAGTTGGTCCACCCGGCCCGGGCGGACAATGCGGCAACCTGGGATCGGTTTTCTGAAGATTGTGAGAGATTTGAAAACTCGTTCTGGGAACCACTATATTTTTCTCACGTAGTGGGTTATCTTGCGTCTGTCTGTCAAATTCTCAGGTCCGCAGCTGCAATATTATTATCAAAAGACGTAGAGGAAGTGGCGCCGTGCAAAACCCTAAAAAATACCTCCTGCGACTTTTCATGCTGGTATCGAAGGGAGCTTTCTCCTTGCTATCTGAACACTAATACGCGTGGTAAGAGCTCTTCGAGGGTTCCGGCAGTGATTGACGGTTTACCGCCGGCTCCCAGATGCTCGTAGAGCTCTTCGGCATCGATGAGCTAGCGGAATTCCGGCACGGGGTGGCCCGGGCGGACAATGTCTCAACCTGGGGTCGGTTTTTTTGGAGATTGTGAGAGATTTGGAAGTTCGTTTTGAGAACCCAATTTCTTATTTCCTGTAGTCGATCATGGCGCGCTCGATGGTTAAATCCTGAGGGCTGTAGCTGCAGCACAGCACTCAAAAGTTAGGAAGAACCGTCGGCCGTCGGGATGTATTTTTTCTGAATAATAATGGTTTCGTAAGAAGATAATTCAAGCTGGAAGCGAGCTACAGAACTCTGGAATTCTTTGCACGCATAGTAGATTATGACGCGCCAGCCTGAAATTCTCAGGTCCGAAGCTGCAATAGTACTGTCAAAAGAAGTGGAGGAAGCGGTGGCTGTCGGGATCAATTTTTTAAGATGGAAATGGTTTCGTGAACTTGACTCAAGCAAGAAGCAAGCTACACGCTCTGATCTGCACCGGTGGAGTCAGCATGATGAAAAACATCAATCCGGATGGGCGGGAGCTTGTGGTTCGAGCCATGTCACGAGAGATTCCAGAACACCGTACTATTGTGCATAAAGTTGTGTGCTGCTAGCTCTTTTTCAAAAGTACACTTGAGCAGCCTGACAACCAATATCTTTTGCACGTGGGTTGGTTAGGCTGCGTCTTCTTGCGAAATTCCCCGGTCCGCAGCTGCAGTTTTACATTCAAAAGGCGTAGGAGAACCAGCTTCGCATAACACCCAAAGACTGGATTCTGCGAGTTTCAAGCTGATACTCGAGGTAGCTTTCTCCTCAATCTATTGAGGCTCTACTTCACGTTTTCAGAGCTCCACGAGGGTCCCGGCGGTAACCTGGTTGACGGTTTGCCGCCGTTTCCAGTTTGAGTTGCGAGTGTCAGATTGAGATTCGCCTGTCTTCCTTGGGTGCCGATTCTTGGACATGGATGTATCGATAAGGCAACCAGAGGACGGACGAACAAACTTGGTTGGCCCGTTTGGACACACCACCTACTATTCTCGTTCACCTTTCATCAGACGTGCCAATATACCCAGGATGTCTGGCCACTTCGACGGCGGCAGATCCCATGACGGAGTGGGCATTGGCTGGGCTCTTGATATGCTTGACTCGTAGAGCTTCCGTGAGAGCGAAGCGGCGAAGCTAAAGAGTAAATCCGGCGCGCTGGCGGGCCAGTGACTCGCGGGGCTTCCCTAACAGCGAAGCGGCGAAGCAAGAGAGTGATTCCGGCGCGCGGGGGGGGCTAGTTGGCCCGACAAATCTCGACGGAAGTTTTGTATCATTTTGGTCGGTTAAAAATCAAGTCCTCTAAATTTAAACATTCGTTCGAGCTCCAAGGTGTTTTCTTCCATATTCGATACTATTCCCTTTCGCCATCTTGATCTCAGGTCGATCGGTGGTCATTATTGTCAAAAAGTATGTGGGCGGGATCGACTGTTGAGCGATTTTGGCAGGTGCTGTCGGTTTTCTTAACTTAACTCGAGCTTTAGGTGAGCTACAGACTTGCTCGGCACAGAATCGGAAGGGAATCATCAGGAGCGCTAGTCTCAAGTATCCCGAGGCCCGAACTCGGTCTGCCACCAGAGCTGGGACCAAACAACTATTCGTGTTCTGTTATTTTTGTTTGAATAAATGATGATGGTTTTCTGACCTCAACTCCAACTGCAGATGAGCTACAGAGCTGTTCACAGAGATCGGAAGGAAGTGATCAGGAGCGCTAGTCTGAAGCATCTAAATACCGGAAATCGGTCTGCTACCAGAGCTGGGACCAAATATTCGCATTCTGGTTTTTTGTTATAATACCAAAGAAAGATATGATAGCAGTTTTCTCTTCGTTACTCGAGCAATAGGCTGTCTATGGAGCTGAGAAGCACTCCCCAAACCATGAGGTTGCCAGCCACATTCGCCTGCGGTATCGAGGCGCCAGGATTCGGCCTGCAACCATACCAGCGACTGGAAACTATTCCAATTCGACGCCAGAGCGCAGAGACGGAGAATCCTGCGAAGCATCAGTCTACCGCCACGACGCCTGAGATCGGTCTGCTACCAGAGCATCAACCAAATTATTACTTGCATCCTCTCAATTTTATGAGAGGCGGTTCTCCTGCTCGTCATCGTCCTGCTCTTCTTACTTCTTTCCCTTCTTCTTCTCCTCCTGCTCCTTCTCCTCCTCCCCCCTCTCTTCCTCAGCCTTCCCCACCTGCTTCTCCTTCACTCATTCTTCTTCACCTCCTCCTCCATGAAACCGCGCCCTCGCACGCGGAATACGAGATTGCCTTGCCCGCATGCCATTATCTACATCGCAAGGAAACTCTACGACTTCCCGGCGGCAACCAAGGTTCACGGTTTACCGACCGCTCCCAGTTGGCCCGAAAAATCTCGACTGATGTTTTGCAGTATTTCAATCGATTGAAAATCAGTTTCTCGAAGTTCAACATTCGTTAGAGCTCTAATATTTGGGTGGATCCTGCTTTCAAAAAGCGTGTCGGCGGGATCGGTTCTTTTCTGTCATCCTGGCAGCTGCTGGCGGTTTTCTTAGCTTAACTCGAGCTGTAGATGAGCGGTGGAAAATCATTAAAACGCTTAGTCTTACTGGGAGCCGGCGGTAAACCGTCAACCTTGGTTTCGCGGTCTTTGCGGTCGACTGCGCGGGCCGTCTGGCCCAGTCGCAAGCAAGAAACGGGCAACATACAGGGTGAGCCAAACCGCCCACCACAGCGAGTGCGGCAGCTTGGGGGCGAAGCTTATATAGAATAAGTAACAGTCAAGCGAAGCTCTTATTCGACACACGCGCATGCATGAGAACACACAAGCACGAAGAAAACAACGCAATCACAAGTCACAATATTTCAAGCTCGAAGTATGTGGAAACGGCCCGTGGAAGAACATCGATGATATGTTCAATCGCCGACATTTCGGCATTGGTAACTGCAGCGCTGTTGATAGAGAAAGCAGCACTGTACACCTCCGCCCATACAACATCTCCGGAGCTCGGCTTACGATATGTCCGCGAGACACGACCGACATCAATCCAGCAACCGACTCCGACACCAGCCGTCGACACACCGCCATCGAAACCACAATCGATGACACAATACATGTATAAACTAAAAATATCATTGGGCTCCTGCCCTATACGATCCTGAAATATGTCGTTGCCCTCGCGGGCAGCATGAGTAAGCACGTCCGCCCTCGTATTCCATTCCCTGAAGAAGTGCTCGATCAGATCCCGTCGAAGAGCAGAGTGGCGCGTATGGAACATAAAAGACATACCGTCCAGGCGGTTAACAATCCAGCCAACTCTCCGCTGGAAATCTTTATTGATCACTTGCCAGAATCCCTGGCGCAATGATACCACCAAGAGGCTATAACCATGATTACTTACCGGGACTCCGAAGGCTTCAAGGTCCCAATCGAAATTCTCCCATTTGGATGTGTGTACAGCTAGACGTTTAGCGAGACGATCGTTGGCGAGTTGCGAGCCCTCCGTAAACTCACATTCCCGAAGTTCCTGCTGGGTTTGGATGTGGACCTCACCTGCAACCCGAGGATGACTGAGACCTTTAGCACGAATCTCGAAGCAATCGGGCATAGCACGCGAGCATGCATGCGCAGAGAAACGCTCAAAGGCCCCTGGCGTAGCGCGAAAACCTTCTTACCATCTGGGTCCGAAGAACTCCGAGAATATGTGGGTCCAATGCCGTTGTCTGATGGCCAGGCCCCTCCGCGTTGACGCTTCATCTGACTAGATTCCCGAGAGCAGAAATTCTTGCGCAGGGACTCCGATGCACCCGTACGAATACGATTCCACATCACACCGCATGCACACAGACAAGCACGCACATTACGCCACGGCCGATCAGCATTCCTCCACTCATCGTATATGTCCGCATCGGCGACGTGACTAAACTCGCACCTGTCTTTGGCCAGGTTCCAGGAAATCGAAGAAACCTCTGCACCATGGATGCAAAACCCATATCCTGAAACTTCCTCCTAGCCTCCGCATATCCTCCGACTCCACGTGGAAACATTCTCCGCAGGTGCCTTAGGACATGTGAACATCTTATATCAACAGAACCCCTCGAAGGAGCGCATACGCTGGAGCGAATGATCAGCGAGCGTCATACCCTCAATCCCGTACATGGAAATCCCCTGGGCCCCCTCCCGATACCTCCAAAAGTTTTCACGTAGACCTACAGCCGAACATCGGAAATAGTTAGCCATACCGAAGAAACTCTTACGCGCGATGGGCAGACGGTAATCAACATCAGGATGGGTAGGAGCATTGAACTCTGAATGGATCTCGACCCAAAGCACGTTCATAGAAGAAACTCTGCGATATCGTAAGACCTCTGGCATGCTGGGCGCATCAACAAGCAGGTCTTCCGCGGGCACAATCACTCCGTCGGCGTCACAGCGCGGTGCTACACCACAGGACACGAACAAAAATGGTGACATCTTCCACGCCATACCGAAAGAGACAAGTGGTACTGTTAGATGGTGAACCCTGGCCCTGGGATCTTGCACAGAGCCAGCTACAAAGTAGACGTTGTCCGCCCAGGGAAAGTGCCTGATGAGGAGCTCCTAACGCGCGGGCCCGAAGAGTCCGTCCACTCGGTAGCGCAGCCCCCTCACATCCCACAATCTAAAGACATCGGCCCACATCGCCACGATAAGCAAGTTGAACACTAGAGGCCCCTCAGGCCCCCCCGAACGTATACACCTATCCCAATGGAGCCCAGGGGCTTCCATCCCTTCGACAATCACCGTACCTATCGCGCCACATAACGGAGCCAGGAGAGCACATTGAAGATAATGAGGTACCTGTGCGTGCTGTAATCCCTTCCTAACGTTTGCTAAACTACAATGATCGAACGCCTGGTTAATATCCGCTTTCACGATGTACACACTCTCACTCTTACCCCACGTATCCCCATGTTGAGCCAATGTTTGAAGACCGCTCGTAATCTCCCAAGTCTCACGTGCCTCCTGGAACCCGTAGATACCAAAGTCATGGAATATTCCAGAGCGCTGGACAAAGCTCTCTGTAAGGATAAGAACACAGACTGAATACCAACGAGAGATAGCATGTTGCATAACGAGGTAGCGGCCCGCGGATAACGTCGTCAAACAAGGGACTCTGAGCATAAACGAAATCAAGACCTCCCTCCACCCGTCTGGATAATTCTGAGAACACGTGAATATCCGATCGACGAGCATCTGGATAGAGCGGAGAGCAGACCAAGGGAAAGCACGAAGCATTTCCGTTGGCACACGGTCGGGCCCTGTCACCCGCAGCGTATTCAGGCGGCTTCGCGCCCTACATCGAACAGCCATGCTGATGTACTCCGTACACCGTCCGTCCTTGAAATTGAACACAGCCTCCTTCCTCAGTTCCTCCAACATCTTGACGCTTTCCCCCCGAACCTCCTCCGACAAGAACTTGGCCGTAGAGTAGTCATGACTCTCCCGCCTCCACTCCTCCCTGTCCTCCGTCACCATCCCGTCTATCACAAGGTGATTGATGCGGTGGCGAGCCTTGCGCCTCGAAATGGGACTGCCCCACTCGGCGAGTGCGCGTCGGTAAGCCTTACGATACCGATTGCAAACAACTCGGAGCTCTCTGCGCCCCTCATCCGATAGAACTGGCGCTGCGCGGCGCAACTTCTCCAGGCCACGCCGCAGCTCTGGCGGGCGGACGGGCGGCAGGCCACGACCCAGCTTAGCCGTCGTGAAATTCACGCTCTCTTTACTCGTGAAAGCGCTCAACAACCTTTCAGATAGATCCCTAGGAGAACACGATACAGCGGCACCCCCAACAAACTCGCTACCGCCGGGAACTCGTAGAGCTTCCTTGCGACATACATAAGTGGGACGCGGCAATCTCGACTTTCTGCTCGCGCGAGGGCGCGGTTTCATGGAGGAGGACGCAGACGAAAAGAAGGACTGAGGGGCCGAGGAAAAGAAGGAGGAGGAGGAGCAAGAGGAGGATGAGGAGCAGAAGGGGGAAGGGTGGAAGGGGGAGAAGAGGGGTGATGATGATGCTGATGAAGGGGAGGAGAATGATGATGAGGAGGTAGAGGAGGAGGAGAAGAAAGAGAAGGAGGAGCAAATGAAGGAGAAAGAGGAGAAAAAGGAGGAACAGGAGAAGGAGCAGGAGCAAGAGAAAGAGGGAAGAGGGGGAAGACGAAGAAGGAGAAGGAGAAGGCGAACGAGGGGGGAAGTGGGGAGGGAAAGAAAGTTCGAGAATTCGAAAAGTTCTTCTCAGCTTCACAGCAAGCCTACAGCTCGGATGAAGTAGAGGAGAATATCATCATCTCAAACAAAAATTGTAGAGTACGAGCAGTTCTTTTCCAGCTCTGGCAGCAGACCGATCTCAGACGTCTAGATACTCAGAAATAGCGCGTCTCATGATGTTTCTCCATGTGCTGAGCCATACAGCTGCGTAGCTTATCTGCAGCTCGAGCTGCATCAAGAAAGCCATCATCACCGTTCAAAAAATTAGCAGGATACGAATAGGTTAATCGAGACGAGCTCTGGTTGCAGAGCGAGTGCAGACATCTAGATACTTGAGACTCGCGCGCCTGATGATGTTCTTTCGATTGCTGTGCCGGACATCTCTGTAGCTCATCTGCAGCTCGAGCTATGTCAGGAAGCAATCATCATTTCTTAAAAATAACAGCGTTTGAACAGCTCTTCGGACCCAGCTCTGGTAGCAGAGCGAGTTCGGGTATCTAGATACTCGCTACGAACGCGTCTGATTTTTTTAAGTTTGTAGCTCATATTCAGCTCAACTGAGTTAAGAAAACGGACAGCATCTGCCAACATGCCACTAAACAGCCGATATCCCCTGAGTGCTTGTTGGCAGTAATATGTACCCAATATACCTGAGATTAAGATGGCGAGCAGGAATAAGATCGAAGATGGGGAAAATATTAAAAGTCTAAAGACCTTTTCACTTGTAAGAAACCGTTTATTAAGCGACCAAAATGATACAAAACTTCCGCATATATTTTTTTTTGCCAACTCGCCCCCGAGCGCGCCGGAATCACTCTAGATTCGCCGCTTCGCTCTAGGGAAGCTCTACGAGTCAAGGCATCTGGATGTCCGAGATCGGTCTGCTCTTAGAGCTGGGAGTAAAAAACTGGGAGCCGGCGCACAAATGCCCAGGGGTCCCCTGTCTGGTGCCATGCTGGCGCTCAAGGAGCGCCATCCTGTCCGCCGAGCGTTGTCACACCCCGACGATGGGTGCGGCGCGCAGCGGGGCGGCGCGGCGCTGCTCGGGCGCGCCTGCGCCGCACCCTGCTGCTGCGCTCGGGCGTGGCGACACCCGACAGAGGACGCGCGACCGCGCGGGGCGCGGGCGCTCGGCGTCGCGGAAAAGGAACGAGAAGCCCCGCCCGACACCGAAGCGCAGCGCAAGAGAGAGGCTTGGCTGGCTACGGGGAGAGCAACGGCACCCCGAGCGCCGAGCGGCGCAGGGGCGCGCCCCACGCACCGCGTGCCCGACGGAGGCGCCGCACTTCTCGCGGCGCGGTCCTCCGTCTCCCGGCGCGGCGCGCGCGTGACCGCGCCAGGCGCAGCGCAGTGCACTCGCGGCGGGCCCTGGCATTCGCGCCTCTGTACAACGCGAGCGCCGCGCGCCATCACAAATGCCCAGGGCCCCCTGTCTGGTGCCGTGCTCGCGCTCAAGGAGCGCCATCCTGTCCGTCGAGCGTTGTCACACCCCGACGATGGGCGTGGCGCGCAGCGGGGCGGCGCGGCCCTGCTCGGGCGCGCCTGCGCCGCACCCCGCTGCCGCGCTCGGGCGCGGCGACACCCAATGCCAAACTGGCCACGCCCGAGCGCGCGGCGCCGCGCATCACGGCGCGCGGCGCCCACGAACCGACACAGCGCGCGGGATGCACCGCGTCGCGCGAGATGCGCAAGGCGCGGGGAAGTTACACGATGGACGCGGCGCGCGCGGGCGCGCCTGCGGTCGCGACCCCCGCACGGCACCTGGCCGAGGCGCGCTGAATCGCGCCACAACTTCTGCCGGCGCACGAGTGCGCCCGCGGCCCGATTCGGGCGGTGTCAAATATCTTTCAAATATTAGCAAAACCGACCCAAAGTTGTCTCTGGGAAACGGTGGTAAACCGTCAACCTGTTACCGCCGGGAACCTCGTAGAGATCTCTTCTTGCACGGCGATCGTCGGAACACATCAAGAAAGCCAGCGCTCCTCTGAACACATGAAGGAAGATTCAGAAGCGAGAGCCGAAAAACTGAAAAAAAAACACGATTTTTCGGTTTCATCCAAAGTCGGTTCCAGCAATTGCTTTGATAGTAATAATGCAGCTAGGGACCTGAAAAATTCACTGCCAGACGCGGCATAACCCACTACAGGTGAGAAGAATCTGGTCTCTCAAAATGAATTCTCAAACTGGCGCTGGCGGTGAACCGTCAACCTGGTCGCCGCGAACCTCGTAGAGCTCCTTCCACCAACAAGAATGCTCAGAATCGAAGTAGAGTTGTAAAATAATGATGTTCCTAAAACCTTGATTTGATATTCAGATTGGCTCGGTTCCCGAAAGTCAACTCTTAATAAAGTACATCGGGAAAGCTCAGCTATCAGAACGAAGTTTTTATGCCAATGCCCGGCGTCAAAATCTGCTTTCTCGAAATAAATAATCAAATATCTCTCAATTCAACCGACAAAAAGTTATCACTTTGTCCGCCCGCGCCGGGTGGTCCAATTGGGCGCCGGCGGTAAACTGTCAACCTTTCTTACCACCGGGGGACTCGTAGAGCTCCCTGCCCATATATTATGTAAAAAATACCAGAGAACGAATAGTTTTTAGCCCGAGTTACTTCAGACCTCTCGATGCAACAGCGGATCTGTAGCTCTCCTGCAGCCCGAGTTCAA